TTAATAACCCAAAACCCACCACCACATTACAGGGAGACGAGGGGGTTGACTGAAACCCACAACCCACGACCACACCACACCACAGGGGGGGTAGGGGGTGATACCATGGCAGGGGGGGTCGGGCGACGCTGCACCAGAATATATACAGGAAAGCTCTTAGAGACACGTAGACGCCTTTGCCTTTGCAGTTCCATGCAGTTCCCACCTTCCTGGTACCTAGCCTCGCCTGCTGGACATGATGATGAATGATGAGGGTCATGAGAGTAGAGTCTCAGCAAGGCGCCAACGAAGGGACGCCGTGCCTGGAGGTAACGCCCACGCTCCGCCAGCATCAGGTCGCGGCACGCGTCCCATATTGTCGACTGGCCTCGTGATATGTCAGTGTGACGAGTAGCTCTGTGCAAAGAGGTGTCTCGAAGCATCGCCTGCCTCCCCAGGGTGCTCCGGGTGCCGAGTCGTTCCAGGCTGCCGGCTCGAAGGCCTCAGGGGCCCCGATCCCCAAGTGGTTTTGGCAAATTTGGCAAAGGGCGAAAATTCCTGCGGCGCAAGTGTAGTGAGACACTGGTGATGACAACATGGCTATCGCAATGTGCGCCGCATCTGGCTGGCCTCCACAGTCACCATGGCGAACTCACATGGGCCCGCGCAGCTGTGTCTTTGTCAAGCAGACGAGTGCTGGTGCTTTCTTCTCTGATGTGCTTTCACCATGTTCATAAGGTCAGAGGCAGCTCAACTCTGGACTCAAGTTCACCGTGGCTGGCCGCTTTGGCAGATGGCGGCTTTCGACACGTATGGTGCACATAGGGGCCGTGTACGTTTCTGAAAAGCTGGCGTCGCCCGGGCAAGCAATGACGCACACACGCAGAGTGAAGTTGTCCTACGCACCTTCTCGTTGAAGCATAGTAGGGGCAGGCAGCCTTACCATCTGCCCCAAAAGCTGGGACCCTGGGGGCCGTGGGAGGACCTCCTTCTCCAGGCCCGTTCGTTCCTCATCCCAGACCTCCCAGCACAGATCACTGCTTCGCTATGCTTCGCTGCGTCTCAGAATTTCTCAAAGAGAGGCCTTCGCCCTGGCGATCTTCTCAGCTTCCAGGGAGTCCTGGCGGAACTTCGAGCGCAAAAAGCTGGGTGGAAGCGTGTACAGGACCTGGCGGATCTTTGAGGCATCCAGCTCCCTCCGGAGACCCTCGCAGGCAGCCTGGAGAGGCAGAAGTCGAAGAACCGAGCAGGGAGACGGAACGGGTGAGGTTGTTGTGGCAATACGTCAGCTTCAGTGCAATAACAACCAACACAGGCAGTCGTAAGGCTACCCGAACCTTTTGGCGTTACATTCGGTGTAAGCTGTGCACCATGCAGACTTGACCTACAGGACACCTTCACTGAATTGGAGAAACTGTGCTAGGACGTCCTTCCGGTGCTGCACCGGACTGAATCTATGCCTATCCGGGTTTCTATAGGTTGCAAACCCCTGAGGATGAGTTGAGGATTCAACTCCAATTTTGCTACAAGTATTCTACCTACACGGGTGTTGCAGGGGCGCAGGAACCCGCATGCCAACACAGCCTCTCACACCCTCCGAGACTGCAAGCAAATGCAAGCGGCACCTCATTGGCCAGCCCTTTTCGAAGCTCTTGGAGCTCGCGGCTTTGAGCCTTCGTCGTAAGCTTACATCGAAGCACGAGTTTTTGTCAAGCCAGAGTCTAGAGGAGTGTAGGGAAAGACGGAGTTCATGAAAGCTTCTCGGAACTTTGCTGAGCGGGCACATGTTCTGGCAGGATGCAACGGTCTCCGGCAGATGGATCCTAATTGCTGTCATAGTGGCTGTAGGTCTATACAGGTAGCACATCTTCAGAACAAGCACCGTGTCTCGTCTGAACTCGGGCACACGGCCTGTGAAGCTTCTTGTTGCGCAAGCACCTGCACAGCCGGCAAACATCGTTGTCGCGCGGCCGATGCATGCAGCCAATGAAACAATGATGAGGGCGATGCCACATGAGTTCTCTAAATCAGGCACCGAATGAAAAGGACCCTAACCTTTTCCTAATCTCCCACATTGAGTGGCTTGTTAGCAGCGTGCCTGCTTCTGCAGCTGCTCCAACTGACGACTTTGCGAGGAGACCTGAGCCACCAACACAAAGTCGCCCACGGCCGAGGTTTCGCGACGTTGGGACGTCGAATTCACGTGCACGCAGCTCCCGTTCTCATCTTTGTGCCAGACACTGCTTTGCAAGGACTGCACCCCGCCGTCCGTGTCCTGGAAAGCGGAGGCCAGGCATCGTTCACGCGCCCACAGCAGCAGAAACCACAGAACCTCGAATCTTCTCTGCAGGGAGCTCAGCGCATCCAGGGTTGAGGAGGTGACCTGAGCCACTGGTGGATCTCGCAGGAGGCTATCTCCACTTTTCGGGCTTTGCGTGCGATATGGGAGCCGCGGAGTAAGGGGAAGAAGAGCACGCAGGGCAGGAATCTGTTTGCTCTGTTTCCGCTGATCCTGGGACCGGTCGTTCCGGTTCTGTTTGCTCGCTTAAGCGACTAGAAGTCTGACGTGACCTTGCAGGGTCTGGCGCCAAGACTCACAAGCGCGCTCATGCACGGCGTTTGAAGTCTGACGGACCTTGAGGAGAATCTTTGGATAACGGGTATGAAGCACACATTGACGCCAGGCTTGAGAAAGGGCTTGCTTGGCATGGCATCTTGTTGTATCTTGTCCTCATGCATGCCCAATGCATGCTTCAAGTCTTGAAGCCCTTGGCTCCCAGCTTGCTCACAAGCATCTCGAAACCCCGAAGACTGTGCCTGTGCACTGAAGGGAGGCAGCTTCCGAAGCATTAAAAACCCTGCGAAAAGGGCGCCTGTGAGGCCGTCTTTGTGGACTCCAGCAGTTCCTGAGCTCCAGCGGTGCTCAAGCGGTGTCAAGCGGTTTCTAGGCGCGGGGCCTCCGCCAGCTGTTGCTGGCTGTGCTGCTGGGCCACCTCAGAGGCTTCTACTCCGCCGGTGTCATCTTTGCATCCGGAAATGCTCCGGCCAGGGTCACTCTGAACAGAAGAAATCGGCCGACGCAGGCGTGTAAGGTATAGGCAGACTCGGCACTGACTGCCTGCCAACTCCGGCAAGTCCAACAGACATCGGGCAGCTTCATGAATGCAGTCTGTAGGATAAAACTTCATAGCAACACACCCTTTTGCCCACCCCCCCTTGGTAGCCAGAAGCCAGAGAACCTCATCGACCCCCCGAAGGCTGCGTTGTCAACTGCCAGTCTTTCTATACATGCAGCCGCAATGCCATCAACTGTAGAGCAAAAGCACAGCACTGGTCCAAACCATAGTATACAGTAAGGTTTGTACTACCAGTATCGCCACAACCCCAAATGATACTCACGGCCATACCAAATGAGATCGGCATACATTCACCAGAGTCCCAAAATGACCCAGGTCTCACATCATTGTCTCTCGTGGTGCTCATTTGCACGGGGTTCTCGTGCGGCATCGCTGTTCACGTAGTGTAAGTATAACAGTATATCGTCCAAGCTTCGTGGAAATCTTGTTTAGAGACTTGCAGTTCACGCTTCTGGGTTAGAGGGTTCAGGCTTTGGGCGGATGTGATATGCTAGACAAATTAGAGAACAAAGCCATCTACTCACAAGGCACCTCTTCTTATGGCACCAAAACCTCGCAGAAAACGAAGGCCTCTATCTGCGCACGAAGAGCATCGAGCGCGCTGCTCAGGCCCTGTGCAAAAGAATCCGCTAAGCTCTGACCGCGCTGATCTGCAGTTTCGAATCTGTATGAACTCTGGGCAGACGTCCGTGCGACGTCTCCTCGTGTCGCTCGACGGAGCTCTGGCTGAAGCCATTGAAGCTCTCCTTCCAAGGCATCGGATCGGGACAACATGGAATGCGTCTGTGAATTCTTCAATCTTGAATCTTTGAGCCAATGTGGGTCCGAGTGAAAGGCAAAAGCCAGAAAGAGGCAGAAGCATTGTGATGGCACGATCCAAGAGGTCCTTGATGGTCTTCAAGGTCTCCTCCGAACGCGACAGTGCCCAGCACAAATCAAGGTCTTGCTGACATCAGGCCTTTGTGCTGACACTCTAGTCACAAACGCGGTGGCCGATGGCGTTACCAGCGCTGCTGCTACAGCTCGCCATCCCAAACTAGTAGGATCTATCAACTCCAACATGCAAGCTGTGCGACCTCGAAGGCAGCCTCAAGGGAAACATCCCGCTGATCGCTCCGCTTCTCCTGATGGCTTGGGAAAGGCTAACAGGGCCACCGTCCGTTGTGGATGCGCGACAATGCCACATACTTGCGCATGAGGTCAGGCTCTCACTGGCTTCGTTGGCTCCTGGTTGACCAATGCTTGCTGGATCTCACCAACTTTGGTGCCAAGTTCCTCCAACTGCATTAGATTCGGGAGATGGAAAGCTTGACGGGGAGATGGAAAGCTTGACGAGCCAGACAGGCAGTAATGTACTGATTGAGAGCAAGCCAAATGAGCAAACCCACAGCTACACGCGTCAATGTTCGGCCTCGACTGAGGCGGGCTTAACCAAGCCATCTACGGTCAGCCGCAGGTCCGTCAAAGACTGGGACATAGCCTGGTCACATAGCACTGAGAAAATGATGCAGTGCACTGGAAGCAGAACTTGTCGTTTCTTTATCCAGCTCTGGTTAGCGCCTAGCACGGGCCTAGCGCCCGGCATGAAAACGGTCCTGGCTTGTGGCAGCGAGGCTGCAAGGACCACCAAAACGCCGAACATGAAACCTCTTGGGTTCCAATTAATCGGGTCCGTCGTCTGCCCTTCTATCAGAATCACTGTCGGTCTCGACAACGGAACCGGGCCAAGAGTCACACAGTCAAAGCACACGCACCTCTCTGACTTACCTGCATGGCGACTAACAGAACACATCCCTTGTCGACCAACATATTCAGACAGCCGTGGGTAGAGATCGTGTGTGCTAAGTCTGTGAAAGCAGCGATTTTGCCGGTTTGAATCGAAATCCAACATGGTCTCCGCTTTGGCAACTACGTGCTGGGAACCTCTTCCTGGAGCTTGGAACATCGACCTAGCAGCTGCCTCAAACGATCTCTAGAGCGGAAATTTGTGCCGGCCTTTGCCATGTTGATCACACAACCCAGACGGTAGGGACTGTAGGCACCCAACAGAAGACGCAGTTCTTTGAAGGTCTTTCTAGGTCCTAGGTCTAGAGTCCAGACGAATTGGTCTCGTGCCATGGCAGAGCCAATAGGAAACCATGTCTTCAATTATGCCGCCTCTGTTCAAACTCTGCAGGAGGCATCAGCCCATCAGGGCTGACTGTGAGGCAGATTGCAGGAGCGGCAGACTGTTCAGTAAGATGCTTCTTGACTGGTCAGGTTCTATGCAGGAAGTCTTGTAGGCCAGAGCCTCGATGCCTGAACTACGACTTGTGCTTGGCAGCTGCGCGCTGTCTTGCAAACAGCCTCACAGGCGACAGGGTTGGAAACCCCAAACGAGCTTCAGCCCAGGAGAGGAGGCGCATCCACCTCCCACAGAAATGTGGCATTCGCTAGCATGGCCACAACATCCTTGCAGCTCTGCATAACACCAAGGCGGGAAATAGGCCCAAATTTACAAGCGTCAACAACATCGCCTACAGTCAGACTAGGTCAGCCCGGACCCTCAAGCCGTCCCCCGGAAAGCCTTCACCGGACGGCGACGCTGCACGAACGCAAGAGCTGCCACGAAGGACGCAGTAAAGACGCTTGCAATCAAGAGTCCTCATCAGGAGTCAGGACACAACGGCAGGTCTGCCTACTGCTTGTGGCTGTTCGCTCCCCGGGGCAGGCCAAGCACACAGAGAACAGGAATGTCGGAATGTCCACGTAGCGACTGAACGAAAATCAAACTGCAAACGGGCTCCTCGCAGGTGATCACCTGAAGCTGCTGCATCCAGCCTCATGAAAGCAACATCGAAACACAAGTCCAAAAGGCAACTGGGTACCACAGAGTCCCCATCTCGTCCAAGAAGCAGCTCTGGAGCATGCGACTCTTTCCACGACTTCTCCTCTGCAGCAAAACGGGCTTTTGCGAGGGCCTCCTTCAGCGCCGCCTGCGCCCCAAGATTCCGGGCAAGCTCTTGCAGACGGTGCTGGGCCTTCTCTGCCCTGTGCCTCAAATCCTTGCCGGTGGCATCAAAGGATGCGTCTGCAAGTTCGTCCTCCAGCTTCTCGTAGTGATGGCTAACTTGTTCTTCCAGCCGCTCCGCCACATCCTCGGCCTTGTCCTCCGCATCCCCAACCGCGTCTTGCATCTGGTCTTCATGCCGCTCGTAGACATGCTCCGGCATGTGTGCCGCTCGCTGCGCCCTCACTGCTCGCCTGCCATGAAACTTCCAGGACTTCGCGGCAGCCTTGGCTTCTGCCTCGAGTGCCTTCACATGCTGATGGGCTTTGCGCCGAGCATCTTTGAGAGTGGCCTTCATTCTGTGCTTCTGTTCCTCTGCATCATGCTCCACATGCCAGGAAGCTTTTTCGACAGCGTCGGCCAGTTCTGCAGCCTGCGATGCATCGAAGTCAAGGGCACTTTTGCGAGACTCATTGTTGAATCGCTCGAGCTTCTTGGTTTGGGACTCAAGGGTGCTCTCCCAAGAATCTGTCTCCTTGGGCTTCGAGCCTGCAACCAGTTCCTGCAGTGTCTGCCAGCCGTTTACTTTGCGGATGACCTCGGGGGTGGACATGTCCTTCAAAGACTTCAGGCTGTTCTGGAAGCTGTCAGCAGCATGCTGTTCTTGCGCCTGTGCTGTCGCAACTTCAGAAGACATGTTGGCAGAGTTTGGCACAGCAGCCAGCAGCTGCGGAGCATGCAAGTCTTTCCACGACTTCTCCTCTGCAGCAAAACGGGCTTTTGCGAGGGCCTCCTTCAGCGCCGCCTGCGCCCCAAGATTCCGGGCAAGCTCTTGCAGACGGTGCTGGGCTTTCTCTGCCCTGCGACTCAAAGCTTTGCTGCTAGCACCAATGGATGCATCCTCAAGTTCGTCGTCCAACTTCCCGTAATGTTCATTGATGTTGTCCTTCAAGCCCTCGGCCGCATTCTCAACCTCCTGCTCTGTGTCGCCGACGGCATCTCGCATTTGGTCGTCATGGCTCTCGTAGAGCTGCTCTGGCATGTTGGCCTGCCACTGCGCATTGACAGCATGCCTGCCATCCGATCTCCAAGACCTGACAGCAGCTCTGGCTCGTTTCTCAAGCTTCCGAACCTGGCCGAGGGCGTCTTGCCGAGCAGCCTTTATTGCTGCTTTGGCTCTCTTCCTCTGCACTTCCACGCTCTGTGCAACGTTCGCCACTGCTTTGTCTAAGTTGTCCATAAGCTCCGCCGCTCGTGTCGCATTGAAGCCGGCTGCAGTCTGTTGAGAGCTAAACTGTTCCAACTGTTTCGTCGTCGCCTCCAGCCTGTCCTGTAATGATTTTGCATCTTCCTGCCGGGAGAGTCCCACCAAGTCCTGGATCGAGTGCCAGTCGCTGGCCTTGCTGAGGATGTCCTGCTGAAGGATGGCAGGCAATTACTGCCATAAGGCATGCCACAAGCACACAACCGCACACCCGACAGGGATCGAGCACGATTACCGTCACTGGCCCTACACCCTGCTACGAGCACGCCCGTGCGCGCGCAGGTACGGCCACAAGGCATCGTTCGCGAGGAGGAAGCTCTTCAGGTTTAGAGGTTCCAGGACAGGCAAAAGCCCGGTGGCCAAAGCAGATGCGCGAAGCGTTTAGACTTTAGAGGTCTCCGCTTTTAGAGGTTGACATTCATCCACAGCCTTCGAAGAGGTCTGGCGCAGAGCGTGCAAGGTGTCCCTCGCCGTCGCAGCTGCCCGCGCTTCCTGCTGCTCCAAGTCGGAGACCGCGCGCAAACTGGCCTCACGAGCCGCTACGCTGGCATAGTCCGGCGCCTGGGAGGCGTGGAGTGTGCCAGGCTCCTTTCGTCCTTTCGTTTGCTCAGATTAGTTTTATAATGTTGGATAAATGCCCTGGGAAGCCGATGAAGTTTTTGCAGGGATAGAGGCCTCTGCCGACAGCAAGGTGCCACGAAGCGAGGCACGCGGCGCTGCAGCAAACTGAGCGCAGTAGCATGGACGTTTCAATCGCTTCATACAACACTCTTGCAGCGATCCCAGGCAATGCAAGCTTTTTCCTGATCCCCCTGCCTGGCCCCACTCGCTCTGTTCTCCATGCCTCTGTGAGGCGTACTGCCGCGCGAAGTGGGGGAGGAAGTCGTGCCAGGTTCCTTTGATTCGCGTGCCAGGAACTTAGCAAGGGTCTGCTCTAGGATTTGCATCTTAGCAGCATGCTACACGTCTGCGATCGGTCTAACAAAAACTAAAAAAGACTGAGAAGCCCTTCAATGCCTCTCTAATACTAACCGCGCGTTTCTGCTGAAAACGAGCAACGTTCCTCCGCCTCGCGAACCTGCGGCTGCTGGGCCTGCTCTCGCTGCTCCTTCTGATGCCGCTGGTGGCTCTCCGTCCGGCCACGGCGTTTCTTTTGCTCTGGTTCCGGCCTTAAGCCAGGGCAGATTGCAGCATCAGCTGGACTGCTGTGCGACATCTCAAGAACTATGGCATCGATGTCGACGGCCTTCTTGAACGACAAGGCCAATACTTTGACGAGAGGCCGGGCTTGTGGCTTGTCATGGTGGGTGCCTTTCGGCTCATGGTCTTGACCCGTCCCATGCTCGCCTTTCGACTGTGCCTTGGATGCCGGTTTGTCGAGCAGAGATTGTGCTTGATCAACGGCATTTCTAAAGTGATCCACGAGTCTGGCCCAAGGCACGGAATGGTTGGTACTGTTGGTACTTTGAGCCAGCACAACCCAAAGCAATAGCCCAGATCCTGGCAGAGAAATGAGTGAGAGAATGAGACTCCGGTGACCCGCGCTCCGGGCGCTCCTAGAAAGGCACGGAGCATGGCGCTGCGGCAGCGCTGCCCGGCGCGGCTGGCTGTGCTCGCTGTTCCAGCAAATGCTGAGCAAATGGCTACAGTGTCAGACAGAGTCGCCGCGAATCAGACAAAGATGCAGGCACACACCCAACTTGATGCTGCCTCCGAGTCCAAACTTGGAGTGTCACTCAGCGCCACGAGGACCATGCACTGCTGGCCTGGTGGCGTGCGACGGCCTGGCTTGTCAGGTCCTGAGGGGGCGAAGGGGGACACGTCTCCCTGCAACGCGGACCTATGTTAAAATCTGCGCCTGCAAACCCGTACTGTGGGTGGCCATGGCTGTCGTGATGTAGCCCAGGCCGGCAGATGTCTCCTCAAGGTGACACGCTTGAGAAGCCTGGGACATCCTCGGACCCAGAGTTGCAGGTGAATGCTTCGGGTGCTAACCTGTGCCCGTCCTGAACTCTAGGCTTCATCTCCTGCAGAAGGTCTGCCAGCGCCTGAGGCGCGCAGACTGGTCGCGGGAAGCACAGGAACGAATGTATATACTGAATCGAATGAAGGTCATGGGATGTCGTCCCCGCGCCTCAGTGGATTTCCGGAGATCGCTCAGCTTCTTCTCGGGGTCCTGACACTCCACTCGCAAAAACACTCGGCCCCTCGCTTTAGTAGGAATATACCTTAACCGTAAATCATATTGGGATCCTACTATAATTTAAGGTATGTTCCTTAATTATACTTGTAAGGGATCATCTGAGCTCCGCTGGCCTGGCTCCGCAAGGCCTCCGACAGCTGGGCTCCCTGGGCCTCCACGACCCGCCGCAACTCCATGGCGTCCTCTGATGCTCTCATGGCAAGCCCAACATATACTTAGCATATACTTGCTGTTTTAAGGCTACTCTACTCAAGAGTGCGACATTGCCTTGCCTTCCCTTCTGCTTGCCTCCCTATCACAGTCTCAGAAGCTTCCTGCCTGGCTGCGGGCGGCCTCCAAACTCCTGCAGCTTCGGACCAAGGCCCATCCCCTCTTGAACAACACCGACAAGCCTCGACTGTGTCTCCACGAGCCGCTGCAACTCGATGATCTTTTGCCCCGTGTCCTTCGGCATGGGACTGGAGCGCTGCGGCAAGATGAAATCACACGCAAGGTGGCTACATTGGCTGCATGCTGCGTTGTGCATGATTCGGCATAAGCGTGGCCGCTCTCCTGCGCGCGGAGGTATTGTAGAGACTGAGAGTTACTCTCCGCAGATCTCTGCATCTCGGCCTCGGCAATGAGCGAATCTCGTGGATCGCTGCTTGAGCTCACCATCAGAGGATTTTCCCGCAAGACATCAGCGATCTAGAGTCTGAGGTCTGGACCATGTGCTGGGATTCGCTGGTCCTCAAGGCCTTTGGAAGGCGCTTCCGGAACTCTGCGAGTCGACTCGGGGAGCTCTCTGGGAGCTTCCTTCGCGCCTCGACGCTCCGCTGCAGTGCCTCGAAGCCCCTCTGCAGCTCCGACACCCTCTCTGGGACCTTGGGCGCATTTTCTCAGAAGACGAGCTCCCGCTCGCGGTGTGGGGCGCGGGCCTCTGGGCTGCGAAGGGACTCCACCTTCCAGAGGCTCTGGGACTGCTGTCGCTCGCAGTATCACCGGAAACGGTCAGAATCGATGTCTGGAACTTCCAACAGGGATCGCGGGAGCACAAACCAAAGACCTCAACTAACTCATTCCATGCTCCAGAAATCTCCAGAACGCACAATTGAATTTCTCAAAAGCTCCGCCTGGCGGCCCAGGTCAGAAAGGAGCTTCGCCGTCTCCTTCAGGCAAGACCAGCCTTCTGTTACTCCCTTTTGAGCTTGCAGTTGACTCCGCTCAGCCCGTAGGCTCAAGTCCTTGCTGAGCTCACCGATCTGGGAGCGAGGGTCCTCCGAACATGAGACAGCTCGAGGCATGTGGAGCTCAGACTCTCAGCGAGACACGAGGCTTCGCTGTAAGCAAGAGCCTGCGCTTGAAGCTCTTCTCTCAGCTGCGAAGTTGTGTCCTCCCAGGTGGCAAAGCGAATGCGCTGTTCAGCACACTGAACACACAGTATATCTATGCCTTTCACAGACAGTGAGTCCACGGGCAGTTGTCCGAAGCGGGCATGTTCCGCCAACCTGCGTGCTACAGCCGAGCCCTGCGGGTCCTTCGATGCCTCACCAGGTGGGTAGCTGGGTGGTGCGAGCAGAGCAGATCATTTCGATAGCAGCTGAAATTGCCACTGAGATCTTGCAATCAAAATGGGAGCTGGAGTCACGGAAAGCCAGCCGGTTGGCCTGCTGCAAGGCCTTGAGAACCAGCGCCTGCACTGGTGGAAACCAGAGAGTCATGGGACGGAGGCACGAAGTGAGAAGACCTCCGGCTTACCTGCTCTCCTGTCAACGTTCTCGAACCACCTGTGCCTGCGACTGCAGTTCGTCGGCCACACCGCTCAGACGCTTCTGGTGATCCTGTTAAGTCAGGAACTGCTTCGTCACGTCTGGGAAGTAGAGTAGAATCAAGCGAGCTGGCGATGTCTTTAAATGTAGGTCTAGTTCAAGTAGCCAGTAAGGGGGAGAGAGCCAGCAAGGAGGTCCCCAAAGCCTCGACAAAATCCAAAGATGCTCTTTGCTGGCAAACATCTTCGATCAGCAGCAAGCACTGCCATCTCTGAAGGGTCTCTGATACGTCCAAAAGAAGGGCCTCAGAGCTCCGGGCGCTGTCGCCGCGGGCCCCGCGGAGCTCCTGCCCGAGTAGTGCCGGTGGCTAGCACTTCGATTCCAGAAACACTCAAACGCTGGCTCTGTAATATCTGTATCTTGCAATCTCTGTCGTGACAGCTAATGAAGCGATTTTCGGTATTACCAAGTCTGCCGATCGGCGCCAACAACTTCGAACTGCCTTGCAAGATGCAGGACTGCATCCGAACCTGCAGCTGCGCAGATTCCTGGCAGACGCGCAGGCCCGGTGTGCCGTCGGTGTGCTGTGCCATGTTGGGTAAACTATTATTATTATTATTATTATTATTCTTATTCTTATTCTTAGTATTATTATTTTTTTTATTATTATTATTATTGTTATTATTATTATTGTTATTATTATTGTTATTATTATTATTGTTATTATTATGATTATTCCCCACATCATTCTGTGGGGTTCTTACTTTTGGGGGCTGTCCCGCCTCCTCCTCCTCATCTCACCTCCTCCTCCTCCTCCCGCCCCTCCTCCNNCCCCTCTCCTCCCACACACACACACACTCCTACACACACACACACACACACACACACACGCACACACACACACACACACACACACACGCACACACACACACACACTCACACACAGACACACACACACACACACACACTTGAACACCCAGGCTTCTGGGAGGATGCATATGTGTGGTGACTTCAACTCAGCGATATGCTCAAGCAATAAGCTCAAGACTCAGCTGAGACTTC